ATTAATTGCACTTATCTTCGGTAACTTTGTTGCGTTGGGTAGCATCTTTAACTAACTAGTGGACATTTTTCCTTATCGCGGATTCGTTGCTAACCAACTTACTTCATATAAATAAATAAATAAATAACTTGTATATTTACCGACGACGGTACACGGCCCCATAAGTGGGAGCGATCATGTGTATAGTGAACACGTTTCATAACATTAAATAAAAATTTACTAATAGCATTTCGGATCATGATTACTTTTCGTTGAGTCCTAGACCCGCGCAACTCATATGTAAAATTTACGGATGTTTGGATCGTCAGGAGTAGATAATAAACGAAGGGACTATTAGGCTGCAAGGACACAGGATTTGGTATGGTATGTAATGACATGTAGTGGGTAAGCTAGCTGTAAGCTATTATCAAATGTTTTTTATACCAACTTCTGTCAGTGTTTCTAGTGTTTGCTGTGAGTCGAATATCTTCAGAGCATTTGGTATAGTGAGGAAGGTCTGAAGGAGATTTCGAAAGGTGACATGGCTTGTACACATGCGTAACTGTAGGGGTAGTTTGTTCCACAAATAAGTGTATCTCACTAAGAAGAAATTCGAGCGAATTTTATGACTTGAAAGGTTTGTACGTATCAAGTAGCCGCCATTACGTGTGGGGTAGACTGCAGTCTTCCGCAATTCAAGTGCGGTGCTGTCTGCGTAAATTCGTTGGTTTATAATGTTGTAGAAGAGAACGAGGTTGTTTTTTAAGCGTCTCAACCAAAGTGGATCCAGCTGCAGTCTTCGACAGCGATCATAATAAGTCAGGTTTGAGCAGCGTCCCATGAGCAGTTTGGTAAATGATCGTTGGACATTTTCTAGAGCCGTTCTGTCTTTCTTTCTCAATTGGCTGTGAAGGATAGTACAATACTCCAGAGTCGGTCGTACGATTGTCTTGAATGATTCAAGTCGTACTTCAGGTAGGGAGAAAGTTCTGGTGATATATCCGCATAGCTGCCTCGCTTTCGCAACCTGATAAAGAACATGTTCGGAGAAATTGAAAGAGTTGGAGTACCTAATTCCTAAGTCCCGAACTGACTCAGACGTTGGGATCACGTTTCCGGCAAGTATAATGGAGCCTTCTGGGATGCGGCATCTGTACCCAAGTACTTGGGATTTCACTGCGGAGAACTTCATTAATAAGCGCTCACTAGCTATATTTAGTGCGGATAGGTCTTCACAGATGTTTCTCAAACACATATGTAGTTGGTCCGGATGAAATGAGTAAACCAGTTTGACATCATCTGCAAACAGAAATGGATGTCCATGTTTGATTGGGTCACATATATTGTTTACATAGATTAAGAAAAGTAGCGGTCCGAGCACACTTCCCTGGAAGACACCGCTGGTTATTGGCTTCGGTGTAGAATGTTGCTGACCGATTTTAACGACCTGAGTTCGACCGTTTAGGTATGAGTCGAACCAGTTAAGCAGCGGATTTCCAATTCCATATGACTCTAGAGCAGACAGCAGTGGCTGGTGTGGCACGCGGTCGAAAGCCTTTTGCATGTCCAACAGAATTATGATAATTGCCATTCCTCTGTCAATCATAGTCGTGATGTGATCGAGAAATTGTAGCTGGCATGTAACGCAGGAGCGTCTTGAGAGAAAGCCGA